CTCGAACAAAAACAACAACAACAACATCAAAAAAAAAAAAAAAACCCAAAAACAAAAACTGAAAAATCGCCAACAATCGCCGGGCGTAGAGTAACTTAATTTTCTGCTCACGTCTGCAGTTTCTGTAAGTGAAAAATTGTTCAGCTGCGCGAATGACAGCTGAATTATTATAAATCGATATGCTGGCTACTTGGAGATTCACGTAAAACAAAAAAATGGCAAAAAATGGGGGCTAGTCCGAGTCACAATCACAGGGCCTAAGGCGAGATACACAGGGAAAATAACCAGGTTTTTATGGTTAACCCTTTTAAAAAATCCAACAAGATATGTAATTATTTACTTTGTATCTGAACTTGATTTTATAAACCTCTTCTTGATGAACACACAGCTACAATTAGATAATGTGGGATAGCTATACAAAATGTGGCAAAAAGATTCTTTAAGCATGGAAGAACCACTTTTGCAAAACCCTTGGCTTGTTTTGCCCCCTCTGTTCCCTGCTACCCTCTTAATTAGCACATGTTGAAAAGGAAATCATTATGCTTGATAAAAATCACAAGTGTTGATTGCTGAAGAACGTCGCCGCTGACATGCAACAAGTGCGAGACAGGAAAAGTCGTTGCAGATCCGTCGACGTAGTTGTTGCTCTTGCTGTTTGTCGTTGGCTGGAAGTTGTTGCCACTTTTTAGATGGCAGTTGGTGGCAAGTTGCAGCAGCAGCAGCAGCAGCAGCAGCAACAGCAACAGCGGCTCTCGTGGAAAAACAGACGCTAAAATGGGCAAAACATGCGGTGCGAGGAGCGACTAAAGTTCGCTTATGTATCTGTCAGATACATTATGTGCCCATGTGCCTATCTTTGGCCAGCGAGTGTCGCTGTTGCAGTTGCATTCGCTGTTGCTGCTGCTGCTGCAACTTGCAAGTGCAAAAGAAAATATTTTTTAACGCTTTGGGCCGCGTACAGCAAACTAGAAAATGTTGCTGCTGGCAAAGCCGCGCGTTGCATTCATGCGCGTAATCAAATTGTAATCACAGCTTCGACTTCGACTGCAGCAGGGAGCAGCAACAGCAGTCGCAACAGCAACAGCAAACTGCAGCAGCCACTGCAACACCAGCAACAACAACAACAATTTCTTCCCTGTTGTTGCTGTTGTTAAGTGGAAATACTTGTTGCACAAATGCAATGCATGCTGCTGCTGTTGTTGCCTGTTGCCGCTGCTGTGTATCTGCATCTGTTGTCCGCGTACAGTGGTCTTTGCCTATGATCAACTAAAGATTTTAATCGAAATAAAAAATGCCTAGTAAAATATTCAAAGTAAATTCTTGTATAATATTTATGCATCCTACCTACTTTAATTAACCAAACTGAAGCTGTTGAGTTTTTAAAACTATCAAAAGGAATTTAATGCCTCACATTTATTTACATAAAAATACAATAAAAATAAATTGACCAATTAGAGTTCTTTGGAAACTATTTGGTTTCGTTTTTATTTTTATCACTGTAGGTGCAGCAGAAAACGGCAATTGCATCTGCATTCTTTCCACTTTTCTTGCTGCCGCCTTGTGCAATTTATTAAATGAAAAATGCCGTTTTGCAGCTTTCCAAGTTGCTATACATGTACAGGCCAGCGCATATATGTAAGTATTTATTTATATATATATATAGATAGCTTTGTATATATCGAGATGCATACATATGTATGTACGAGTATGCTGGCATCTTTCGCTGCAAAAGCCAAATTGAATTTTATGCAAATTTTTAGCTCGTTTTGACTCGGATAGAAATCGCCACATCTAATGCATAATGCCTGGCAGCACACGCATGCACACCACGCCTCTCCCCTATTTTTCAGCTCTTGTTTCGATCGCCTGATTTGCGTTCTTTATGCAATTGGCCAATCCAGCGATCCATCGAGCCAACCGCTGGATTGTTCGTTGTCGAATTAAAATGCCACAGGTGGAATTAGAACGCCATAATCTGGTTGAGAGTGGATTGCACAGAAAGAAAAGTATCTATATTTTGGATAGTCTTATTAGTTTGGCATACTACCAGGAAAAGGTAGAGATCTTATTAGAACACTTTCCTCGTTTTTCAGAGAGTTTGATAAAAAGAAACCCTCTCCGTTTCAAGATCAAGATGAAACCATGTGTTTTTCTCTCTGCACCTATTTCTTTTTTATTATAATTTTTTTGTGCTACCGATCGGATGCAGATACTCAAGTACAGCCCCCGCCGCTGGCGCCACTCTGTCCGACTTATGACAGCGATCGTTAACCGCTTTCGCTAGGCCTTTTTGGCGGCGATTTGAGTTTATGTAAAACAAACGAGTTCGAGTCACTATCCCAACTGGTAGCCAACCGATTTTGTTGCTATTTTATACTTCGTTTTTTTCCCTGTGCTTTTCTGATTATTTACTTTTTGAAGCTCCTATGAATAGATCGAAAAACTGTCACCAAACACGTTTTCTGTCTAAAAACGCACACAAAAAATATTCCACTGTGTCGCCGCCTTGTTTGTGGCTAAACAATTGGGCAAAAACTGGCAAAAAAAATATGAGAAAATAAAGAAGAAGACGGCGGCGAAAAAATGCCAAATCGCATGGCCAAGTCAAGTCGTTGTTAACTTTTGTTTATACAAAAAAACAAAAGAGAGGAAACACCAACGAAAATCAGAAAAAATACCGCCCGTCGAAATGCTGTTCGAACAAGTGAAACATTTAATTAAGTCAAATACGCTGCGCAATGGAAATTCCATGGGATTTGTCATGGCTTTGGAATCCTTTCGGGAACATGAATAACTGAAAGACATATGTAGGAGTCATCAAATTGACGTTGTTTTACAAGATTTACCATTAACACTTATGACAGTACAAGCTTTATTTAACTCTCTCTGTTTTCCTTAGTCACCCTGTACATGAAGATCTTTCAAATATTTCAATTGAAAATTTAAATAACGTTAATTGGATTTAATTTTAGAAAACCTTACAATATGTGGGCTATAAGCACCCAAGCAATTATCGGTACCGTTTCAAGGGTATCAATAGTTCGACCTTGCGTACACGTATTGGAATAGATATTTATTTTTTCTGTGATTTCTGTTGGCTGTGCTCGAAACGTGGCGAGGTCTTTAAAGGCCGCCCGAGGCCTGGCTCGCTTCGCTTTATTGTAGAAATTTATTTATGGTTTATTGGAATTTTTGCGCGCTACCGGCAGCAATTTTTAAAATTCAATAGCAACGCGTGTTGAGGACGGGGGATCAATAAACATGGAGAGGAGGGGCCAAACGTGGGGCAAAAAGCGTAAATAATTTTGGTTGAAAATTATGCGCGAATTGCCAAATACCAATAAGGGGAGTAACTTTGTATATTTTTGTTTGTTCAGTGCGAGTGGTGAAACTACAATGAAACTATGTAAATAGGAAACATTGAATTGAAATTAACTAAGTCTTTAAAAACAGAAATAATACATTTCCTAAAGATAAAAATGATATTTTTGAAAGACATCAACTTTGTCAGTGAACAGAAAAAATAGGTCAAATATAACGACGCAATTAAATCCCTGAAAATCCTTCAGATTTCAAACGACTGTAACCCTGAAATCGGAACGCACATAGATCGTTGCTTTGTTGTGCCCACTGGCAGACATTCCTACGATATGTGTGCATATATAATCTACTTGATGCATAACCCTAGAAAATGCGCAGATGTTTCGTTTCATTTTCATTTTCAAAGGCGAGCGAAGGAGATAGAGGGAGAAATACTGAAATTCCACAACGCTTAATTCAGTGAAACATTTTCAACAATGTCCATGCAATTTGAAACAAACAAAGGGAATGTTTGTGTTAATTGAAAGCGTGAAGCGCACACAGTCCCAAACGAACTGAAACAATACGGCGTACACAGATACAAATGTACCGAAAGAAAACTGGGTATGATTTTAAAAATCAATTGCAGAAGCCAATTAAGAAACCTATTGGTTTTTCCGATATTGATACCGATTCTTCATCTTAATTTCTTACAAAATTCTTTTAAGACCAAACCACATTAAACTATGTTTTTCGCTAAGTGAAAATCGAACTGAGAGGGCGAAGAATTTCAGAAATCAATTATTTCGAAACTGCAAAAATTCCTACGTACATTTTGCAATTGTTTATGGGCAAAGCGAGAGACAGAGATAGAGAGTGGGCCTGAAAGCATTGGCAAGAGCGAGAGGTAACACAAAAAATGTGAGCGAACGGCAAACTAAAATGTATCTATGAGATACATGGCCTGATCGCAACGCTCTCGCTCGCTCTTTTCTGGCTCTCTCGCACTCATTACGTATGAGTTTGTTGTTTTTGTTTTCCTTTTTTTTTTGCAGATCATTCGCCGAGCTTTATTTAACTTTTGCTCTCTCGTTTTTTGCCTTTACAATTCATTTTTTGTTTGTTGCCACTCTCAGTTCAGTTCAGTTATATTTGGAGTCTTAATCATCGAATCGGAATGTTTACTCCAAGTTTTTTCCCCGTTCCGTTTTGTTTTGCCTGTTGCCGTTGCCTTGTTTAAAATATGTAATTTATTTCGCTGCTGCCTCTTGCTTCTTTTTGTTTCTTTTTGCCTCCACCGATCGCATTCCTTTACACACACACACACACACACAAGTTCAGCACACAGCTGCAGCACGCACCTTTTCTTTCCGGTTCAAGAGCGCTTCGGAATCGGAATTTATATGGGTTTTTTTCAGCTTGTTTGCACAAGCTTCCTGAATAACTGAACCGCTGCTCTCTCACCTGGGTTTTTGAATTTTTTAAAGCATGCCGTTTTTAACAAGGACTTTGGCGAACCGAACTAAGATTAATAAATACCATAACGATTTTTACAACCATTTACTCTTATTAGCCATTCTTGTCAATATTTACAAGTAAATAAAATCTATTTTTTTAAATAAAAGATTGATTGGTCTTTTTATTTGACTCTGTTGTTAAAATTGACGAACTATTGTTTCAGGAACCTAAACTCCACTTACCAATCTCTGGGGTCCAACCAGGTGGTCTTCTTATTGATGTGATCTATATAGTAGGTCTTGCCATCGAAATCCTTGGCAATATCCCAACCATCAGGCAGAGGAAAATCGCTGTGGTGTTGCTGTTGTTGTTGATGATGGTGGTGCTGTTGTTGTTGCTGTTGCTGCTGCGTATGTTGTTGTTGGTGGGGACGCAGGAGGTGGGGATGCAGGTGATGCTGCGATTGCGAGGGGGTTTGCTGCAGGTTCGGCATATTTAATTTTTCTCTGTGTACTTGGGAGTCTGAGAAAACTTTAATTCACCCGACGCGCGCTTTTTCTTTTTTTTTTTTTTGCTATCTACTGCTTTTTTCGGGGGGTTTCTCTTTGCGCTGTTTACATTAGCAAAGACATTTCATTCCGTTTCTTTCACTCCGGCGATAATGGAGACACACACACACGAACACACGCGCACGCGAGCCAGGGAGAGCGGGAGAGCGCGGGCGCGCTCTCAATTATTTATTTATTTTTTTTCGTAACTGCATTCCATTCCAGCACAGACACACTCACATAAACGTATTGAGATGAATACAAGCACACGATCACTGCTCACAGTTGCTGCCTCTTCTTTCCATTTCTTGTTGTAATCGTTTGGGCCTCCTTTTATTTTCGCCTAATTGAAACTAATTAACGAGGAATTTAACGCTCTGCTTTTGTCTTGTTTGCGATCACCAAACCACCTAAAATCCGACTTCTGACTGAGTTAAAAAAATGTTAGACTGAGTTGTATGGTGCGCGGTTGCCGATCAGTTCCGGAATTTCTTTGGGGAGCAGCAGCGCCACAGCACAACCGTCCGATTCCGAATTTGAAATTGTTTTGATTAGCGATGGCGAAGAACCGATGCATGGAGCCACAATGAGTTTTGACGATGTTTTTAGTGATATCGATATAAAGCTATGTATCGATATTCTATCCGAGGCATACTCTTAACCTAGCCAAGGCACCAACCAACCCAGCAAATATACCCTCCCTCTTATCCGCCCTACTTCAGTTTCAAACCTACATGGATATAAGCATCTACATGGATAAAAATTACACCGTGCAAAAAAGGTTAAATTTTTAAATTTTATGGGAATAAATTTATACTTGGTGTAAAATGTGGTTAACTCCTATTTTAACGCACATCCAATATTATTGTTTTCCACCCAGACTCCAGAGATCAAGACATTTTCAATTGTTTTGTACTTTTGATATTGTATTTGCATTGAAAGTATTTGTAAAAATCGAGTCAACAAGACTAACACAGCTTCAGCTCAAGACACATGCAACTCCATAGACATTGTATATTAAAACGAATTGAATTAGGAAATATATAGAGAGAAACCATTCTTCCGCTCGTGTGATGCCAACTCTTTGGATGGACTAACACGAAACCCTTACTAATCGGTAAGTTACACATAAATTAATCATATCGGTCAACAACTACAACTAAATATTAGTTAATAGCGAATAAAGAGCGCCCCATAAACTATTTACACTATGCTAGAATCTACTAGAGTCCCGGTTCCGTTCGTCGCATCCATTTCCGTTTCTTGGAACCTCGATCTCCTCCGAATCTTGAATCTTGAATCTCGAATCTTGAATCTCAGGCGAGAACCGGAGCACTGCAGCCGTTGTTCAGTCTGTACTCGGCGTAGACCAGTCCGGTGTTGTGCCAGTGGTAGAAGGCCGCCACGATGATCAGGTGCCACCAGTTGTGCGAGTGGCCCACGAAGTCCACCTTTCCGGTGAACCAGCGCTCCGGGATCTTGGCCGCGTAGAAAACGAACGCGATGAGGCAGAGCAAGTACATGACCACAATGCGGGGCACCATGAGCTACAAAAAGAAAAGGATATAATGAGTTTTATAAATAAATCTAGGGTTATATAAAAATTCAAATAATTAAAGAACATCAGAAGAGATTCAGAAAGTTAATGGTTTTATAGAACTACGCAAAGTTGTAATAGGTTTTAAGATTTGTATTGTTCACATTAAAACTCTTAAGGAATGTTTTATATATTGGTGTTTTCTTAAATAAAAACTTCAAAAACTTCTTTAAAACTCAAAGAATATTTTAAATATTTTTCGATATGCCTAAAGTCTTGTTCTGAATTCTGAAGCTTGTTCCCTAGTTAGTCACTTTACTCACCCTGACTAGCTCGTTCTCCAAGCCACCCATCGCCACCGCCCAGTGACCCAGCGGGATGATCCCGTAGGCGGACCAGAGCAGCAGCACCGCCACCTTGGCGTTCATGGAGACATTGAAGCGGGGGATCTGGACAGCAATCGCAAGGCCGAACATCCCGAGGGCAATGGTGGAGTAGAGGGTGCGCAGGAAGGTGTGGCACCAGAAGGCGTAGTACATGCCGCTGATGTAGATCGCCACCAGCGACAGCGAGATGCCCAGGAAGTCGACCGACAGGAATATCTCGTAGTGCTCCTCCGACTTGCAGGAGAATATGTGGTAGATGGCGGACATCAGCATGCAGAGACAGAAGCAGACGAGGAGACAGACCACCAGGACCTGGTCGCTAAAGGAGGCGTGCTGGCGCAGGAATTGCAGGTCGAAGATCGTCAGGCCGATGAAAAGGATGCAACCAGCCAAGTGGCTCCAGATATTGATCTGTAAAATAAGGTTATTAAAATATAACTATTAAAGATTATCTGTAAAATCTCACCGTCTCATTGGTCCACCAGAAAATGCTCTGCAGGCACAGCTTGTTGGAGAGGAATGTGCGGTAACCGCGGCGGATGTACGGATTGAACTTCAAGTGACTGGGTGCCTGGAAAAAAACAATTGAACAACAAAATAAATACATTTTTCCTATTCGATAAGACATGCAAATCGAATGCGCCGCATTGAAAGAAATTAAAAAACAAAAGAGGATAAATAAAATAGAAATGCCTAAACAAATGCGTCTGGCATCCCGCCCAATCTAAAGCGAAAGCTTTCCACTTGGTTCAATTAAAAATAAATAAAACTAATTAATACAATTCCCCTGGTTGGGAATTTTCTATAGAAATGTTTGAAATGTAAAAAAAACAAACATCTATTGTTTACCTAATTTTTTTTGGGGAACCTTAGACATTTAAATACTTTCCAGTGCTTACAGTGCGATTTAAAAAAATAGAATTAAAATAATGTGAGAGGATTGAATATTGTTCCCTGTTTATTATTCAGAAGCAATTATTATTTCAAGCTTACTTTAAGTCTGGTTTAAAGTTCTTTGTGTACTTGAAGTACATAAAGTATGGTTTGAAAATTCCCCGAAACTTTGTTCGAAATCGGATCGGCTTCGAACAAAAGCGAATCGGGAGTTACCTTGGGGATTTTCTCGGACTTGTAACGTACACCTTCGAGCAACAGTAGCTTCTTTTTTATTTACCACCGCCGTTTAAATATTTAATGCCCGCTGCCGTAGAGCTTTTTATTTGTTGCTGGTCGCGACCTTGATTCAGTTGGCATTTGGTGGGTTTGTCTAATTGTATTATTTTGCAACTGCTGCCAACTCGACCGCCGCCACGGATTTCACATATCTCGCCGTTTTGGCCATTTTTACAACGAGCGATCGTTTTTATTATTTGGTCATATGACTATAACAATAAGCCAAAGTCATAGTTTAAGCCATGTAAATCGAAAACAAAATATTGGTTGTTAGGCTGAACTGATATTTTCTTTAAGGTTCGAACTCGAATTTGTCCCTGATTGTTGGTTTTTTGTCAATTCGCCAAATACAATTTGCGATCAATTAACATTCGGTGCGCGACAATTGCCGCCAAATTGACCCCCAAAGATCGCGTGGGTTAACTCACATCATCGAAATTGCACAGCCATTTGAATTTGGACAACTTCTCGTCGTAGTTGGGTCCATGCCCCAGAATATTGGGCTCCTCGTTGGACGGAAACTGATGCGATGCGTCCGCAGCATCCGCAACCAGTTGGCCATCGATCTGAAAGGAAAAGAAAATGTTGAAAAAAAACCTTATCAATTAGCTGCCGCAGCGGCTCAAAACTAATTTGAATTGAGGACAAGAACAGATACAGATATACGAGTATGTTTCTCAGATTCTTCCGCCTTATGAACAGACGTTGCCAACTGGCGGTTGGTTTTCGGTTTTTATATTTTTAGCCAGCACTGCATTCGAAAATTGATTTGTTTGCCGATTTTATTATTATCTTTTCTGCAGTTCCTGCTATTTCAATTGTTGTTGTTGTTGCTGCTGTTTTCCTCTGGGGGTTTTGGTTTGGGTTTCGTGTGTAAACAACTATCAAGCGAAAACAAGCGAGCACTGCAAAAATGCAATAATAACAACACCACTAATAACCCCATAGACAAACAACAACAAAAACAACTGACAAGGGGGCTTGACTGTAATTTGTTTATCCAGCTTCTAAATCTAAATGCATAACAACAATAACAATTGCGGGAGGCAAGTGCAAGTGCAAGTATCTTATTCAATTCGATGACGTTTTGTTTACAGTTCGTGCCAACTTTATTTTTTTTTGTTTAGCATATCGTTTTGGAAAGCTGATCAGCACTTGTGGCAGAAAGGGACGAGCCCATAAGTGCACTTAGAATAAAAATCTATTACTTTATTATTAGAAAACTTTTTTAAATACCTACCTCACGAACTACGAGTCATTAAAAACAAATGCAAGAGAATAGCTTTTGCTACCTATTTGTAAATAGTTATACAAGCAAGTAAGTGTTATTTAGATTGGATGTTTGCTCAATTTGGAAAGGAAGTTTAGGTAATTGCATTTTTTAATTGACTAATATTCAGATAATCATTATTTACAATACAAAAATTTTAATACTTGTTTTACCCATATATTACCAGGCTGAAACTGCAACCCGAAAAAGACTAAAGTTCAAAAGGTTTTATTACCAATAATCTGCACCAGCGTACTTGCGACTTTGCAACTTGTTAATTATTTTTGCACAAATACTCCACGACAATATTTCAGATTCTAGAAAACAAATGCTAAGTTATTTGTCGGTAAATAGAAAATCTATTGGAATGCCATTGTTAAACAGGATGTGACATTCATTAATTAGCCATTGACGTAGTTTAGCCATTTGTTTGTTAACTCGCAATGCACACTTTAAATTTAAGAGTTTGGAACCTGGAGCTTACATCTTTCTTTTTGCTGCCGCGAATAATGCAATTAAGTTCGGTTGTTGTTGTGGTAACAATTGTTGTTTCCATTTTTGTGAATTTTTCAACAGGTGAAAAGCGTAGGAATTTTAAACAATAAGCTTAACCGTTTGGTAATCTTTTGTTTTCTAAGTTTTTTTTTGTTTTTTTCACAGCTATTTTGAAATTTTTTATTAACTTTCAACACATTAAGGACACCAAGATGGGCATTTCAAAACAATGTTTTTCAAGTTTTTCGCGACTCCTTGGAGAATATTTCAACTGAGCGCGGAATTAAAGTAAACCGTTGCGATTGCTAACCTGCTGGCAACTGAAAACCCCCCGGTATCCAAATGTATCCAATGAAGTGAATCGAAAAAGCTTTCGAAAAAAGCTCCCTATAATTTCGCAGCAGCTGAGAGCTGATTGCCGATTGTGTTTATAGTGTCCAAAAAGCTGGCCAATATTTTCACAAGGGAGAGGCAGATTTTTTAAACGACAGCTATGCTGAAATTATGCGATATTTTGTGGCTGATGAGCTTTCGCTTCTTGTGCAAGCGGCCTGTTTTGGTCAAATCAGGTTGATTATCTAGTACACTAAAAGAATTTTCTCCTAATTATACTGGACAAATTATTAAATCATATTTATTTCCATTGCTGGTTTCCTGCTGTATAAAATTTAACATTTTCTTGTCAACATATTGTAAATAAGAATATTTTATAAACACTTAACATGCATTGAAAATTAAAAGAATATATGTATAACATATTTTTTTTATATGCACCTTACTCTTTTTTTTAAGTAGGGGTCTTTAATTTTCTTTTGTAAGTGTCCCACGTATTTTGCAGATGAAGACAAGCCCCTTTCTTATGTAATGGATCGAGTTAATAATCGGACGAACATTGAGAACCCTTTTGTAAACAATATTTGCACAATTTCGAAAGCTCGGGCTTTTCTCTCAAATTCGCATAATTGTTTACACGATCCCAATACACGGATGCATGATTTGCTTTTATCACTGGCACGAGAGATAAATAAAAACCCAAAACTGAATCTGAAAATCGAGCCCAAAAACCAGTTTTGGTTTTTCGTTGAACTTCAGGAATTCCGCGTGGGGACTTTCGCAAGGTCCCCAATGTGTAAACATAATGCATAACAAGGTATATCGGTGTGGCAAGCTCTAATCGGTTACAAATATGTCCGGCTTGACCTTGGCTCCATTAGTGGAGATCTAGTGGTGGTATAGCCCTGGCTTATGGCGAAAATCGCGCACTCTGACACTTTTGTGTAAGGTCGTCTCGACCTCTTCGTTCAGCTTTCGTATGGCGATTTGTTTTGGGTTGACAGCTGGGATTGAGCGCAATGCACGTGCCGTTCGCCAGTCGTCGAGAACAGTAGCGGATCAGCTTCCGGGTCCATTCATTACAAAATCAAAATACTATACGTTAACTCATAACATTAACTTTTGATGTTTAAAACCTTTTGTGCACACGTCCTAACTCATTTTCCTTATTATTTCAAAACTTAAAGGTAATACAACATGTCTTTCATTATAAAAATCTTGTATTCTGAATTCTGTATATTCTGAATTGGGACATCATTTTTTTATCAATATGAACATAAAACCCTTTTAAGATTTAAAAATATTTAGTTATTTTTTAATTTATTTGTTATTTGTTAAATAGTTTTACTGTGTTACAAAAATTACTATAGAGATAGAAAGGCATTTTCGGTTTCACCGTCTTCTGCTGAACCGCTACCGTCTAAACTCAGCTCGTTGCAAATTGCATTCTCTGCAAAATCGCTTTAATCAGCTGGAATTTTTCCACTCACCCAGCAGTTGTCAGTGGAATCCTTTCCAGATTTTCGAAGATAGCAGGTGGACGTTTCGAGCGAAAGCTCCGGTTCTTCCAGGATCTCTCGGGGACGGGGACTCATGGCGATTCAAAAGCCTGATGGAATTTACAATAATTCAACTCAGTTATAGAGATCGTGTATCCAAGTAAACATTTAAAGTACGATCGCCAGTTGGAGACCGGCATGTTATCCACCCCTTCTCCATTTCGCAGAAGAGTGCGAAAATCGAGACGAGCTTCTAAACAAAAGACAGCTTGAATGGTGCAAAGTGGGGAGTGTGTTGCCATGTTGGAGTCAATAAAGAAAGCGTACTTCTCTCTCTCTCTCTCTCTCTCTCTCTATCTCTCTGCTCCTCTCTTTTTTACTCTTTAAAGTTGCGCTTTCATCAAAGCTTAATCAATTATAGCTGGAAGAAACCTTTTTGAAAAGGTCTTAAAAGTGAACTATTTTTGTTTCAGTACAAAAAAAAAACTATATAGTCAGAGTCCAGCTTTGATAACATTAATTTTTATAAGAATGGTGCAAAACAAAGTGATAAGAATTGATAATTAACATTACAAATTTATAACAAAATATTGAAGGAATATTTATTTAAAGGAATTTAAGAAGTTACTTTATATGTTTTTTAAGGTCATAAAATTGTTTTCTGTGTGCTTAGCAAGGGGCGTCTGTTTTAACGACTGCAGTTTTGAGTTTGTTTCTTTTATAGCACACATTTCTCTCACAAAACCGTTTGCATAACCAAAATTTCTAAAAGTATTCCAGGTCAATCTCTCAACAGCAGCTTTCGCAGCACGTGCCCCAACAATTGCAGTTATTAATTGACAATCCCAAGGGTCCAGATAACCTTTAATTGATTTTGATTTACTTTAGTTTTACTTGGCCACACACGGAATAGAAATTGGAATTTCACTTCGAGCTCAAATATTCTCGTGAACACCACTCGCAACGCGGCAAAAAAATCAACTGAATATTTTCGCAGACCTCGAGTGTATTCGCCTTGAAAGAAAGAGAGCGGGCCCGCTGCAAAGAGAGAATAGACAGCTTCTAAGAGAGCGATTGCGGCAAAAGCTCGTCAAAACTTTGGCGCGCGATCGTGGTACTTTTTTCTTGAATTGATTAAATGCTAATTTAGCATGCTGTGGCCATTGCCGCGATCGGAGATCTTACACTGCTACATAAACGTCGCTTCCTGAATCTTAAATATTCAATTGCTATTGCTCTTTTAAGAGGCATCCTCCAAATTGAAGTTAATTTGCCAACATGAAAATAAACGAATTCCATAAACGGTGTGTAACAGTGACCAGTGTTTACCTTTAGTCTCCCGTTTAAACCTCGCATTTACTTACACATATTTATACCGATTGTTTAATTTCAGGTAACGGAATATTTTCATTACCTTTCCCTCAGTTTACCCCATTTAAAACACAGACGACGCCTGCATATTCTTAATTTTTCCATGGCCTCTGTGAATATTTTAACATTTTCCCTTAACTTTTTGCCAGACAAATGACCTCCTTCACATTGACCGAATTGAGAAATTTCCTTGCCCTTAGCACCATTAAACCTTCTTAACGCTGCGAAAACAATTAAAAAGTTTAATTGTTGACCTAAGAAAGCTGTCACTTGGCAATGTCGTGGCCGAAATACAGCTACATACATATATTCACAACAAAGCTTTTAGCGGCTCATTTTCAAGTCCACACAATCTTGTCCAATTAAAATGTTGCCTTATAAAATTTATCAGCAAATCCATCCAGATCTTTACAGCATGCTAATTATCCAAAAGAGCTGAGTAACCGTTAATTTAAGTTACTGTTTATCAAATAAAAAGAGTACAGTATCTTGCAAAAAGTAAAAAATTATGTTAACATGCAGCGGAGCAACTATTTTGTATCAAAAAATAACAATACATATTTCAAACGAAATCGAAAATTTTAAACCAAGGTTAGGCATTGCCTAAATTTTAAAAATATATTTAAAGCAGCTTTACAATAGGACTTGAATATAAATGAAGGATAAAATTTGTATACAATTGGTTTGGTCAACAAAATTTTGAAACACTTTTACAAAAAGGAAAATCATATAAAAAACCCTAGATTTGTTAAACCTCAATAATTACAAAAATGTGTGATAGAAACGTGGCAATAAGCCCTAACTTTCTTCACTTCGACGCTTGATGTTAAATTGAATTTTTGCAATTTTTATTTTTCCGGTTCTTTAAATATAATATAATAATAATAATAATTTTCCAGCTGATTTTTATTTGTAGTTTTGTTTTTCTTTGTATTTAAACTTATTATGTTGATGCTGTTGTTGGTAGCTGTCTAGCTTTTAATGTTTAATGCTTACATAATTTTTCAGTAATTATTATTAAATTATTTCCGTTTATGCTGTTCTGTTTCTGTTCGGTCAAAACACACTTAATCCCAGTCCGCCACCAATCTGCCAGTTGTTGCTCCAGCTACTACTGCTTCTGCTGCTGCTGCTGATGTTGTTGCTGCTCCTGCTGCTGCTACTGCAAGGCCTCCGGTCCACTGTCGTTTGCCGCTGCTGTTGGTACCGCTGCCAACGTTGCCGTTTCTAATGCTAATGCCTCTGCGGAGGCGGTAGCAGCGACAGCGGCGGCAAAGATGACTGCGACAGTTGCTGATCTTGTTGCAAATGTTGTTGTTGCAGTTATTGGTGTTGATGTTGATGTCGCTGCTGCGGCTGCTGCTGCAGTTGCTGTTGCTGATGTTGCTGTGGCGATTGTTGGTTTTATGGTTGCTGCTGCTGAGGCCGCAGTTCCTGCTGATATTGTGGTTATTGTTGTGGTCAACCGCACGGCGGCCATTGCCATTAACAATGCCGCGGCTGCAGCTCCTCTGCGTCTTCTTCTTCTTCTTCTGATTTTGACTATTGTAAAGTGTTGATGTTATCTTTGTTGCTGTTGCTGTTGCTTTTACTGTTGTTGTTGCTTCTGCTGTTGCTGTTGCATTTGCATACGCATCTGCTTTTACTGCTGCTGTTGTTGATGTTGAATTTGCTGATTCTGTTGGACTGCTGCAATCTGGAACGCATCACATAGCATACTTTCTAGTCCACTCTCGTGCCAGCTCATTGTATTTTTCCCGGTCGGTTTTATATATTCTGGCAATCTCTGGAACAAGTGGGTCGTCTGGATTGGGATCACAGAGTAGAGAGCAAATTGATAATAAGACTGAAAGGGAAAAACCGTAATTATTAGTTGCAGATCCACAGAAAAGTTTAACAAACACTCACCTTTTGAAATAGTTAATGCTGGCGACCACTGAGATCTTAATATATCGAGACAAATCGACCCATTGCTGTTGATGTTTGGATGGTATATGCGCGTTGTAAAAGCCACTTTGGGTGGTTTAAAGGGATAGTCTGTTGGAAAATGTATAGTTAAGAAGAATACACCTCCTTGGTAAGGGCTGTCCGGCTGTAAGACAAAAGAATTTAACAATTAGTTATTGCAGACTAGGGGGTAATAGCTAAACACTAAATCTAGAAGTGGATCAGCCGTCGGATCGGGTTCAGTAAACACGTATTTAGATGTGAAATCATGAGTTTAGCAAAACACAAAACAACACAAATTCTATAAATGTAATTTGCACTGTTGCCAATCAGTAACATAATCAACATAATTGATTATTTTGTAGTTAAGTCTGAACATCTTTTATAGAATTCTAATTTAATAAATGATTACTTATCAACTATAAACGCCTATCTCTCTCAACTAATCATTTAAAGTCATCCTGCTTATCAGTTGACGATACATATAGTATTTGTTATTAATTCTAGTGCAACTATATATCAAAGGTGAATTTGGTGTTTCTATTAATCCACTATTATTATTATTGAACCTTATTTAAGGTTCAAAATGATCTTGGTCTCGTCCAGCTGATCGTGGTTCTAACTTACCGGGCCCATTATTGTAGCTTGCCAGTGAAATACTGTAAGGAAAAAGAAAAGATACATTATTCAAACACTTGTAAGAACGCATTTAAGATAATGAGATAGAGCCCTTGGGAGGGCAAACAAAAAATGCCACTGCAGTAAAACGTTTTTGTTTGCTTTGATTTGCGTTTAGTCCTATATCTGCCCTCAAGCTGAATAATTGTGTACAGATAGCACATAATGCATATTTACATTTGGCAATGCGATGCTAGAAAACTTGAATACCCTTGAAATGGTAACAATAGTGATCTAATATTGTGCTAGTAAACAATCATTTTGTATGTATTATAAGAGACTTATTTATATTAGCCATATTTCCCAGTATAATTATTTTATAATATCTACTACTATCTGGGGGTAAAAGGCTTCACTGTATGTGCACTAAATGCAGCAAACTCGCTCTCGCCAAAATGAATGCAGCACTCTCTCAGTGCCACCCACCACCCCACTTCCTTTCCCATGGCCACGCTCTTTGGCGATTCCTCCACAAAAGAACAAACACAAACAATGCCAGCCAAAGAGCCTTGGCACCGACAATTGGCAGCAACGTCAGCAGCAGAAAAGCACCAAATGTCTCTCTCCCATGAAACAAAAACGCTTAAGTGGAGACTGACTACCGAAAGATACCCTATAATCCTTTCCTTAACTAATATTGTGATAACGAAAACCAATTTTCAAGATGGAATAATATAAGAAATCCAAAAGGACACTTAAATTGTTATATTTTCTGTAATTAAACCTTGCCTTGTCATTTACAAATATTTCCACGAATATATTGCACAAATGTTCTCTGTACAGAAATACCCTTGTACTCGGCTAGTAAACTGTATAAAGAGAGAGCACGGAACGTGCGGCAGTTGGCTCAGAACCATGGCCAAAACAGAGCCACCAGCTATAACGTCAATGTCATCCCGGGGAGCTAAACGAGTGCGACTGGGGAAACCCTCTCTGTTTTGCCGAGAACTGGGAACTGGGCCCTCGGTAACCAGCTGCTGCCTTGACCATAATTACACGAAATGTTCATTTGTCCATTTGCAGTTGGAGTTTGAGTGAGGGGAATGTGGCGGCATTGTATTTCCCAAAGCTCAGACGAAAGTAATCTCCGTAGCTGCAGCAATGATTATGCCACTTAAACAATAATCAATAAATTCTGAGCTTTGCTAGGCAATAAAAATCGTAATATTTCAGACCTTTCTAATTACTCAGAATTTAAATTAAAAAAAACATCTAACTGCAACTGTTGAAATCAATGAATATCTAAGGTTAATCCCTTCATGGTAGCTTAGCTTAAAGGCACTCAATCAATTTTCATTTTAAATGCATGATTAAATCATAAGGTTTCTTGTGCCGTGCTACGATTTCAATGGATTAATTCCACTCACACGAATGGAAACACAAGCCAACACTGAGCGAAAACTTTTGGAGAGTTGTTATTGCACTCGACGGAACATTTGCCACCCAATCAACGCCCACAGATACTAAACAAGCCCCGCCCTTTACAAAAATTCCTTTCTTTTACACCAGATACTCGGAACTATTGGACAAGGGTTTGAAAATGACCAAGTGATAATTACAGCAAAACGTTGACTGCGGGAACAAATCGAATGAATTGGTATGTCGATGTACATATAAACAAATTCAATTGTACATGTATATACAACAAATGATATAGATGATTAAATACTGATAATAGAAATCGAGTGAAATTGCTCGGCTGCCCGCAATTATCAATAAACGATGACAATTAGCATTATTCATTGCTTCACGGGGAACTTAAATGAGTCCGATTTCCTGACGGTCAGAGAAAGAGGGAAATTGAACGCAAAGAAAAATGCTTTTATATAGGAAGTAAAGTATTTAAATATTTCGCCATTTATTAAGAATTTATTATATAATTTAAAAATGTCTTTTGCGGACAATGCATGTGATAAACCATACTAAAAATATTTTTTAACATGTTCTTTAATTTGTTTTAAGAATAAGTGTATTATATTCATTTTAGTCTTTTCGCAGACAAACACTCAGAAAAGCGATGTAACTACACGATTTCACTTTTCAGTGACGTCATTGGAGAGTGACCCCCATATGATTGCAAAACACTTCTTTTTTTTTTTTGCGGGCTTTTCAGTAACGGTTGTCTGTATAGAGTACCGCTCTACGTGCTTTAACGTAACTAAATCCGATCCAAAACCTGTGTGAATTTGTTGACTAATTGCATGACGGCGTTGTGAGTTTTTATATCGAGTTCATGTCAGCAATGAAAAAAAGAACAACATGTTCCGAAACCAGAACCAAGTCATGGTGATCAGCTGTTTGGAGGTCGTAGCTATCACAATATAAAGAACCGAATCCAAACTCGGTGTAAAAGAATCCCAAATTAGCATAGACCAAGCAAAAAGTCACCACAAATAGGCGAGCAAACAGAATACAACCATTTTACGTTTATGCCTAGTCACGATTGAAATCTATGACGTGGTGATGGTCAATCAATAATATCTAAATTTTTCATTAGCACTTTTAGGCAGCAACCCCCTGCTTTTTGGTAACGACATTTTTAAGGGGTTTGCTCCTCTCTACAGTGGTTCAAATCGAAATCCTTTCTTGTATAAAATTGTTTAATCTGCATATGTCCTTATTTGCCTTCCAACTTTCAAAATTCTATTCATTTTTAGTAAACCCAGCTCGGAAATATTCGTCATCTTTTTTGGCTCCCACAAGATATGGTGAAATCAAAACCTAACTCATGGCTCCACAACAAAAAACTGACTCATGACAGACTTTGGGGTTCGCGAACAACATTAACAATACTTACAATCATCTCCAACTGGACCGGCTGAACATTGTGCAGGTGGATCTCTGCCCAGATCTTGCAGTTCCTATAAAAAATAGATATTTCACTCATTAATATTAAATTTTTTATATGTACTAATAGTAACCATACAAACTTTAAAAGTTTATTGTTATTCAGTTTCAAAGAGAAATATGTTTTGAAAACCAAGAAGAATCAAACATTTGTAATCAAGTCCAGTCAAAAGTCAGTCATTTCGAATACTATTTGAACCCTATTTTGGTGGTTACAAAATCAACAACCCCGATTTTCTAATTGTAAAAACCCCCGAAAGAGTTTTCAGAATGGATAATAGTCAAAAATGCATTTCACAGCTATCTGCTTATGTTTTCCGGTTCTTTTGTTTTGGTCTATAATGCATGGATGTCTCTGTTCCCCCGAGGGTATTTTAGTGTGTGTGTGTTGCCTGGCATGCAAATGAGGTAAATTTTAAATGCAGAATTTAAAAACAGAAATATGGGGATACAAAATAAACATTTTTATGCGAGAGTTCGGTTCAAAGCAAGAGCGAGCGAGAGGGAGAGTCGTGAAAAATCAAGTTCGTTGGCCCGGACCACAAATGGCGCTGTCTCCCTCTACCACACCCCCTTCTCAATCACTCCATCTCTATTGCACTCGCACGCACGCACTCACACAGCTGAGCGGCTCCCCCTTCTCATTGCCGCTTCTTCAGTTATCACAGCTGCCCCACACACACAGTGGCACAAAAAGGGGAGAGAATAAGGTGTAAGGTAAACCGGCAAAAAAAATAGAATATATATATAAAAAAAGAATAATGAAGATGAGCTGCGAAAGAAGAACCCGACTCAGGGGTGAAGTAAAAAGAGGAGACGGAGAAAGAAGATTGGAAAGCTAGAGCTTCTCTGTGTGTGCGTGTGTTTGTAACGGCACCCCAAAATTTGAGTTGAACACAACAAAAATAGCCGTCGCGAAAAGAAAAACGCCGTGCTTTTTCGCCCCATCTCACTCACTTGTTCCGAGAATTGTACCTGTTGAGCAAAAATAATTACAAGAAATCGTAACATTTCCTTTTTTTTTGGTTGGAGTAAGAGGGCTCTGTATGACTCATAAGAGGCAGCAAATAAAATAAAAGTAAAGCCAGCACGCACATTTGTACACACAAAGATGAAATTATGACTTGATATCATTTTAGACCAGGTATGATCTCTTTCTTGATATTTTTTAAAGAAGATTTAAAAAAGAACGATCGTAGTAACAAGTTTAAACAGCCATAAACAACATTCCTATGTTTAAAAACTTTTTCTTAGAGCATGTACCAAGAGAGATTGATCGCCGTTTAGGCCGAGTTTTTGCCCTCGCTCTTTAATTCTCTTTTTGGTAAATGAGGCCACCAATGAAAAAACCTTGAAGAATTTGCCTTAAAAAGGGGGGCGTGCATGAGTTTCAATGTTTTTACTACAACGTATACTTTTATTTCCGGTTCGCCATTTCGTTTTCGTTTAGGCAGGAATTAAAAGTTTACAACAGAGGAAAAACTACGAAAATCGAGGAAAACTCAATGGCCATGACGCCAACGCCGGCAGCGCAGCTTTTATGACGACTGCGACGTCGAGACAGTCAGCAGACCCCCACACACACTACGCGCGCACTTAACGTTATTCTGACGCTTACACACACGTATAGATAATGTACAAATTCCGCATTCACCACTCATTCCATATGTAAATTATGCTTAATTATAATTTATAACTAATTATTTGGGGGCCCCTTTTGGCTCTCGAGTGTTTTGCAACACTAAATCCCGCACGCACACACTTGCGCTCTCTTTGGCTCTGCCCCATTGTAAGAGCGAGGCAGAGAAAAGCCTCAGCTGTCGCTGGCAAAGGGAAGGCGCCAAGGCCAGAGCGAGACGGCATGCATTGGCGAGCCAAGTGATGGCGAGACTTTGTATTTGCGTGTGTTGGTGGGGGTATGACTATGATAACCGGCTGCAAACGAAAAAAAGATCCCAATTCGCAAAGTTAATTCTCCAACAACAATATATTATTACTAATGTTTTTTAAGAGGTTCTAAGAGTTTTACAGCGAGGGTTGTTAGGCCCTTGAACATGTTGTTCGCTATCAAATTGGGGGTAAAAAGCATTACTGGACAAGGACATACGACGCGCAAACACTTTAAAAATAATTATCGAAACACGCACACCAGAGCGTCACCACCTATATATGTATGTATATATATATATATATATATATACATACATAGGAGCAACACTATTTCTGAATTATCAGCGCAAAAAGTAGGGTTAGGTTAATTTTATACGCTTCTTGCTTTTGCTCGGTTTTATTTTTTGCTGGATCTTTCTGCGGCGCTGGCATTGTGTGCGTGTGTGTGTCCGTGTATGAGAGGGCGAGAGTGTGCGAGTGCCGTGTACAGCGTGTATTGGGTAACAGCGCCCGTAGAGCTGCGAAAACTCCGCCGTATAGTTGCATTATTGCAAATGCATCCAGGTGCCCGGCACTCACACACACACGCACAAAACAATGCACATTTGCATTGCACTTTCACGCACGCATCGCACACACACACTTTCGCATAAGTAACGGAAACGATGACTGCACCACACGTTGCCTTGCCCACCACACGCACACATCCTTAGCCCTTTTTCACCACCCTCAAATTTCTAATTTCCTAATTAGAAATATATTAATTAAGGTAACGCCGCCAGCTTTTTTCATTCCCTTCGCCTTTAGCACGCTTCTCTCTTGTTCTTCTACTTTTTGTCGAGTACCTACGTTTCACATTTCTTGCATAAAATTTTTCACCCGAAGAAACTCATGTCTGTTCACATTTTTCTCTTCTGTTGCCTTTGACTTGGCCCAAAATATTCTTGTTTTTTTTTTAACCCGTTTCGTTGAACTTTTCGAATTTTTTCCACATACCTTATTGATTCTTTTTAACGCCATTTTCTGATTGAAATTTGATTTTCTGGGTTGTGTATGTGTGTGTTTGGTTGGATGTTTGTTTGCTGGTGTTGGTGTCTCGCGTATTTCTTTTGTTCTTCGCACAGAATCGGGGGTTTCTCAACAAATCTCCTGCTTGCTTAGAATCGAACGAAAACGAAACACAAAAGCTGCGTTGCGCCTCAGAACTTTGATACTTAATATGGCTCTCTAGATGTGTCCCTTGTCTCGAAATAATGCAGCACCAGCGCACTGCGAGTAAAAACGGCGACCCGACGAAGAAGACTACGGCGACGAATATTTTTTCCCAATCAATGCGGGGCTCTCGAGCGCGCGCGTGAGCGAGACGAATGTAGGTGGGTGACCGCAGCGATTGCCTGTGTCGTTGGCGAATAATGAAAGCGAGCGAGACGAATAGTGTGCGTGTCTAATGTCGGTGTTGCAAAACGGCAGTCCAATTGAACAGTCCAGCTAGACGAGCATCAGCGGCGTAGCTATATCCGTTTCTGTCAGGGTGGCCTAAACGAATAGGTGGCAACACCTAGATGTGAGAAATCAATCAATTATTGCCCAATGTATCCAAAAATCGACCTCGAACTTACTTAAATTGGCTTCTTTTCCAAGAAGTCGATCCGGCAGCAGGTAGGTGGTGTCTTGTACTTGTATCTCAGCCTTTTTACAGTGGTGCGTGCGCACAAAACTTAGCAATTTGTTTGTAGATTTGTAAGCACACAACGCGTTGCTGGCTGCCGGAATGTTTTTACTGGACAATTTTGATCCTTTGCTTATCCGAGTATGTGAAATATCACCGACTAGCTACTGGGTTGCATAATTGTTAAAGTTGTTTCCAAATTTGAATTTATTTAATCCGCCGATCTGGCATGGCTTTGGGGTTTTTATTCGTATCAACTCTGACAACTTATCGATGTGTAGTATCGATATATCGGTTGACGGGAGGTATTTTTTTTGGTATTTCATATTGGCTTTGCTTACCACGGGCACACTACCATTGTCTGCAAAATATTTTAAACAAAAAGTGCTTGTTAATTAAGTAATATACTTAATATTAGTGGCTTTACTGCCCTGATTTGGGCGGAAATAGGATTGTGCAAGTGTTTTCTTTGATTTTTTGGTATTACTTTGTGCCCCTTGACTCGTTCGTGTATCGCCGTCTTGCTCTCACCCCCGCAATCAGCTTCGTGCGTTTTTTGTGCATTTTTACACACAACTCACACAATTGTGCGGCCAAGAATTTACACTTATTTTTTTCGCTTGAAAAACAAAACGAATAAAGCCAAAATTAACGCGACAATGTGCAAGTGCTACTAGATCTTCGGCCAGCGGTGTATTCCGCGGAATTCTACCGACAAAAAAATGGAGGAGGATAATGCAAAGGCCTTAAAAAACAACAATAACAACAATAAAGGACGCCAGCAGCTGCAGGGACACGCCCACAGCACCGCCACCGCCTCCGTCGATATATTTATATTTGATTTATAGTAGTAGTAGTAGTCATGCCAACAACAAAAATAGCAACAACAAATAGTTGCGAAGAAGAAGAAGCAGTAATAATACAAGAAAATTGCGATACGCCAATGGCGACCCCAACTACAACAACAATAACAACATTAGCGAATGCAGCAGCCACAACAACAACAAAGCACCGGGAAGAAGAACCAGCGGCGGCGGCAGCGTCTAGCAAAACAAAAACAACAACAACAATATTAGCCGCTGCAGCGGGATGCCACAAACCGTTATTCTTCAGTCGCCGCTTTCAGGATAAACGGAACTTTAGCTCGCTACCGCTTTTCGTTTACGCGACCTCCCCATCGACGCACGCCCACTCCGCGGATGGGGTGGGCGTGGCCAAGGAGGCAGCCGCTTTTAGCCAGAAGGTAAGTTCGTTGCCCGAAAATTGGGGAACTTAAGAACCATACAATTTCAAGACTCGTTAGAGCCCCCTTCAAATCTTAAAGAAAGAATTGTCCTTTGCAAAAAAAAAAGTAGCCACGAGTACTAGGTTAAAACCAGAAAAAAAATATGTTTCCAAACTAAAAGATGCATAGATAGTTTAATTAAACCACAAGGTTGCATAGTTTTAGAAAGGTCATGGTTCTTTGTCAAAATAATAATACCCCTAAATGTTTTAATTTCTACCTTACTGTCTCCATCTCTTTTTTGTGAGCAGCACCCACTCTTTCCGTTCTGAACTTGCGTAATGGATCACTTCCGCTGCACTTGCAGCTTGGGTCGTGCCATATCTGAATTTATAATTCCCACCCAATACATATTTTAACAGTCAGCACCCGGTTTAAAAGACCACGAAGTGTGGATTGCAAAATTCTAAATAAAACTAGAAATTTAGTTAGTTTTACTTTTAGAATATTTTAATTTTAAAGTTGCTGCAGATATCTCCATTTTCTTTATGCCATATAAATTTTTGATGTACATATGTACTTGTTATTGGCTTTGGTTTTTTTTTTGTTTTTTTGTGGCGGTTAATAACTACTGTATTTAACATTTAAAGTTCTGCTTGGCTTCCGCACTAAAGCTTCCATCCTCTCTGCCCCTTTGTTCCACCCGGAAATCGGTGCATGCAGAATCAGATCTCCATTGGAAATGCGTTTTTAATGTTAATCAAAAGGGGGCTTAAAATATTGTTTACACTGCGTTTTATTTTTTTTTTTTTTTTTTTGGTTTTTATACCCTTGCAGAGCAAAAGGGTATTATAATTTCAGTCAGAAGTTTGCAACGCAGTGAAGGAGGCACCTCAGACCCCATAAAGTATATATATTCTTGATCAGCATCACGAGCAGAATCGAAATATGTATGTACGTCTGTCCGTCTGTCCGTCTGTCCGTCTGTCCGTCTGTCCGTCTGTCCGTCTGTCCGTCTGTCCGTTTCCGCGCAAACTAGTCTCTCAGTTTTAAAGCTATCGAGCTGAAACTTTCCCAAAAGTTGTGTAGTTGTTGCACGCAGTATATAAGTCGGAACGAGCCGGATCGGCCGACTATATCGGATAGCTCCAATACAAGAGAATGAAATAAAAAATTCTCACTCTGTTGTTTTTCATCAGATCGACTTGAATTCTTCAAGATGGCGTTTTCTAACTGTTATTAAATTTCGGATTAAATTTGATCAAAATCGGATAACTCTATCATATAGCTGCCATAGGAGAGATCGAAAATTATATATAGAATTAATGGAAATAAATTGATAACATCGTTGTTTTTCATCAGAAAAGTATGATTTTTGGAATATAGAGTGTTCTTACGACTCTTGAATTACGAGTTAAATTTGATCAAAATCGGACAACTATATCGTATAGCTCCCATATGATCTATAGTCAAAAAAATGGGAAATGAATAGAAAAATCGTCTTAGCTTCGATGTTGTCTAGCCTTTATGCGTTTTGTTCGACATATTTGATGACTGCAAGGGTATATAAGCTTCGGCTTGCCGAAGCTAGCTTCCTTTCTTGTTTTGGGCATGTTTCTGTATCTTTTTCGAGTTTCTGCAGTGCGGTGATCGCTCAAACGTGTCAGACATTAATGAGCCAACCGCCAAAGCCGAGCGTAACTGTGCTTTGTCTCATTTTCAGTGGGGAGCAGGGGGAGGAAAGTGAGGGGTTCAGGCGGCCGGGAAGGGGGAGGGCTGGGCGGTATGGGCAGGTGGTTACAGGTGCAGCCATTGACTGGCGAAGCGCTCTCCTTTTGTTGCCGCCCGCTTGTGGTTCGTTCTCTCTTTTTGCCGCAATCTTCCCTCTCTTTCGCGCACTGCAACGCTTCACTTGTGCCTGTGGTTGTTATTTTTGTTGCAGTTCAGTGAGTTGCGACTTGTGCGCCGCTGCTCATAAGCTTCATTAACGGACGGGCAAAAAGGCAGACAACAAAAGGCAGTAAAGCTCCCGAAAAATGTTTGCCACTATTTTCGCCGCCCCGCCTCGGAATTTTCGTAGCTATTCACATTTTTTTTCTGGCTGAAAAATCGGGAGCAATACCCAGATACATCCTATTGTTTATTTCCGTAATCCATGTAAAATGCTGTAATTATCTGTTAATCAAGGGTTCCCAAATGGCAGGGACTTCATTTCAATTTTATCTAAGGCACGATTTTTCTGGAAATCATTGTAATTATTTATTTTTCATGCTTGCCGGCATTTAACCATGTTCAACTTTTCTCAAAGCAATTTATTGCTTTCTATTGTTTATTTATTTCCTGAAAATCTATAAAAGTTACAAAACCCATTACATAAGCAATAATGGTAAAACTACCATGTAACACATGTTTAGCATTTTTGTCACATATTCAATAGATTACACGATATGATGTTGATATTCTTTTAGCCCCATAAAAACTGGTCACAACATTTGCGTTTTTTATATAGTTGTAATATCTAGTAAACCTTTTTATTACCTTCTCCCACTATTACATTTATTATTCAATTATGTTGAGAATCTATTTGCATTTTTAATATTACCTTTTCATCTTTTTCATGCTTTCTTTTTAAATTTGACGATCAGATCGTTTGACACTTTTCACTGGTTTGGACCGCTTTCTAGCGTGGGTTTCCCAAAAAGTGTCCAGTGGGTGTGGCACAGTCGAATGTGATATGATAGGAATGTTTGTGGGCGATATTTTCGTGCTACAGTGGATCATGCAACTTAGTGACAGCTTGCATAAAGTTCTCGTGAGGTTAAGGTACTCTTTAAAATAATACATTTTTCTAATACATACGTTGGAAAAAACCCAGGCTTTATATTTAAGTTAATGCCCAAAAACTGTGAATAAGGCATTAAATAGCCATTTATTTTTGGGGCACACTGTGACCATTGTCGGTCATGAACTGGAGGTTTCAGCCTCCGTTGTTATAATACAATTACGCTGCATTGCTGTTAGATCAGCCCCTTTTTTTCCCGCCCTCCATGTCGGGTGTTGTTTACATTTTCAAATTTAAATCAATTTTGTTTCTGATTGCGGTTTAAGTGGCAGGTTCCAGTCCCCAGTTTTCAGTTTGTGGCCCCATCTCTTGTCTGGCTTTATGTTTATTGCTGCCATATGTGCCCGTCGTCTGGATCTGTATCGGTCTGTGTGGCATTCTGACTGTGTTGTCAAACAATGCGCATATGGATACTGTATCTGTATCTGGATAAATGTATCTTTTATTACCCATATATTGTGAGACAGTTGTTTTGGGTGCAGCGCAAACAATTGTCGAAACGATCTCATCTCCACACGCTCTTCATTTTCGATTCTCTGGAAATATATTTTTGATTGGACTTGCCCCTGGGACTTCCTCGATTCCCACAACTTTTTTCTTGCCACGGTTTACATTTCACTCACAATCAATATTTTGCCCCCTTTCAATTGCCTTACATTTTTTATTTATTGGGACAAAGTGTATGTCATGCAATTGATTGGTATTTATTGAAAATGCTTTGATTTGGCGAGACATTTGCTTATTGTATTGGAAGTTATGCATACTTTTTCCATTTAATAACGGGTAATTTAGATATCTTAAAAAATGCAAACAAGATTTGCAAAAATATATGTGGCTATATGAATTGTATTTTCATCAAGATTAGATTTGGCACCTAAAATCTTCCATAGGAAAACAAATATGTATCCACAAACAACGAAATACGAGCCCCCAAAACCGTTTTACTTATCTCCTGGTATCTGTTTGCCCAATTAAGTAGTAATCTGTCACTGGAGGGCACTTCACTAGATGCTTATAACAAAAACACTGCAATTTCAGTTTAATCAAAACATTTGCCCTACAAAATAAATCCAAGGGCGTAGCTTCCTATCAATTTCATAACAAATCATTGATTTTCTGAAGTGGTTCTCACTTATCTCATTGGAGCTAGAAAATTGTTTCACACCTCCCAAGGGCAAAAAAAGATTTTTCATAATTAAGAATTTGTTTTGGCTATTTTTAAGATTAAACTTCAAACACGTTATTGGAAATTTCTTAACTGCTTTTTATCAGCTTTATGCCTAGGAAAGAGAAGAACTTTTAAAGGAACTCGTTTGAAAATGAATGAATATAAAATAAAAACAACAATTTTAACAGTATCCCTTTAATATACAAGTAAACACTTTCTCAGTTAATTAAATTCTATTGTACAAGTACTCTATAATTTAGATCTTCAAGTTGACGCCGGGGTAACCCTTGGCATTGAGACCGGTGACCTGGTAGGTGGTGCCAGCTGGTTTTGGCTGGTCGAACTTGTTGGCGGTCGTCACATAGAGAATGTCCAAGTTGGGACCACCGAAGGCCACCGAGGTGATTTGAGTGGTGGGAATTTTGATCTCCAGCAGGATTTTGCCGGTGCTTTGAGTTAGGGAAATGATTGTTAATTAAAGATCTTTACTGCAAAATTAAAAACTCACCTTGGGTTGACCTTGAAGACGGTACCGCCGTTGAAGGTGGCCACATAGATATTGCCCTCCGTATCGACGGTCATGCCATCGGGGAATAATGGTCCCTCGGGGCGGATTTTCCTCAGATCGAAGATGACCTTTGGGTTGCTCACGGCGCCGGTGGCTTGATTGTAGTCATAGCCCACAACTTCATGGTTGTTCGTGTCGATGAAGTAGAACTTCTTGGCCTTGACATCCCAGGCCAGACCATTGGAGATGCCCACTTTGGTGCGAAGAAGCGTTGGCTTTCCGCCGGCCTGCCAGCTGTAGAGTTCACCCTTCCACTGGGTGAAGATGTCGCCGGATGTGGCCATGGTGCCGCCGTAGAACCGTCCATTGGGATCGGTTTTGGCATCGTTGATGCGGTTGTCCGTCTGGTCCGGCTGCACTTCGAACAGGGTGCGAACGACCTTGGCCGTAGGGGAGACTCCATCCCACTGGACAACCACAGTGCGACGTCCGCAACCCACAGCAAACTCCTGGGGTTTGTTTTCCACAGGGAGAATAAAGGAGGCAAACTCCTCGCCCTGGATTTTCGCCTTGTACACCTTGTTCTGCTTGAAATCGAAGCGATTAATGCCAGCCGATTCCAGATCCACGTAGTAAAGACTCTGGCGATCCACATCCCAGTGGGGTCCCTCGCCCAAATCGGCATAGGAATCGGGAAGAGCTTCAACCTTGTACGACATCTAAAATGGAGAATATTATAATTACATTTTTAATTTTCCATTCACTCAAAAACCTGATAATTAAATCAACAATTAGCGAAACGTATTACAATGCAATTAAGTTGCTATGCAAAGAATATAATAATAAACAGCTAGCGTTTCGGTATGTAATTGCACATCAAAATTAAACTCTCTCTTCTTTCTCACCTTTGAGATTAATTATTTATTGAGGGCCGGAAAACCGTTTAATACTTCTCAGTCAGCTAACGTTAGCAAACTGAATTGAGTCCGGGCGAGCTGAAATGCTTTTATAGGGGGTTCTCACACCTGAACATGCCAAATTGATAACAATAATTCAAGTTGCTCTCTATAGCTGTTATCAACTTATGACACCAACACGCAAAAACGCCGGACCAATTTAATAATTGAGGTGAAAACCTTAATCTATGATTGTGCAAATTTTCAGAAATACTTAGTAATTCAGAGATAAATGATTTTTGTTTGTTTTTAAAATGCTATATAAACGAATTTCAAAACAAAACATCAACAAGAATTATATTATATATATTTTACAAAAATTAATATAATTTTCGTAGGCTGAATTTCGGCATAGAGTTTCCACTGTGATCAAATTTATATCTCAGTTGGCTTATTATTTCGCTGATAAATGATCCCAGTGAAATCTCTCAACACATTTTATAGTCACCATGAATTTATCAAAAATACCACACATATCTATTATCTCTGTTCATAAAAAGATACATGTGTGAAGATATAACTTGGGATTGCTGTGATATTTCATATTGGTAGCCATGGGGAGGCACTTAAAATGTGTATGGAATGGAAAGGTCGTAAAACCAATGGTTTAGCAGTACGATTTGTCTTATCAATTTCCATAAATAACCAACTCAAACTCAAGTTGTTTTCCTTTCCGAGAGAGCTAGCGGGTCATTGATTAAACCTTTTGCGGTGGTGCCATGGCAACTTTGTGTTGTTGTTGGTTCTTGCTGTTGGTAGGTTGGTGTGTTGTGCCCTTCATGTGTCCCACTCGCACCCCAACGGAGGTGGAGTGTCTTCTACTCGCTATACTATACCATTCTATACTATACTATTCTCTTTGATATGAGTTTTGTGTATTGGACTGGTGCTTCTGACTCGACTCCTTGGCGTGTAATTAAGCCGGCGGGGGGAAGGGAAAGGGGGTGGTGGTGGAGATGGATAGATAAGAAAGGCCGTCCACTTGGACAGTGGGTCACTCGAGCGCTGTCTCCCCGCTTTGGTCTTTTACTGTACTTGTCCATGGCGGTTTTTCCTCTCCTTCATATGGCACTGCAACATCAACACCAATGGCAACAACCATAATAAAAACTAATGAGTTGCTCGGTTGTTATACCCGGTATTTGTAGTTTAAGGGGTGTACTAGTATTGTGGGAGATAAGTATAACTATAAATCTGTAAGGGATTTGGGAACAAATATCAGAATACACTATAGATTCCTGTATCTTATAATCCTTAAAATTTAAATTAGAATGGTTGGATAAGTTTAAAAGATTAAAACCTATTGATTTCGATACAGCTTAATCTTTATTATTTTGTAAAAATAAATTTTATTTTCTATCATGTTTCCCAATAAAAAAAAATGGTATATACTTCATATATTAATAAAACAAACTCTTTCCTAGTAGAATCAATGTTCTATGATCTTATTACCGGGTATCTCTTAGTCGAAGTATTCGATTTTCATGCTAACTTGTCCGATGTTGCTGCCGTCTGGCTCAATGTGTCTTTGGCCCAGTGCATTACCCTTTGCCACACTTTACACGCTTGCATTCTTTTGATTTCTTTATTTCTTTTGTGCTCCTCGCGGAGTTCTGTCTTAATTATCTGTAATTGATTACATCTAAGCGGGCGCCCTAAGTGGCGATTGTTTACCTAGAAATTAAACGCACCGAACAAACAGCGTGCGTAAACAAATAAAAACAAGCGTGTGTCTGGAAGAAAAATAACCTTTGCGATGATAGGATCCTCGAAAATAAAAACCCGAAAGATGATGCAGCTGTTGGAGGTTGTGCATTGATATGGGATAATGCTCTTAAGTATTCCGAAACTCTTTGTGCGTAAGTGTTGCTCACTCTCCATTTCTGGACACTCTTTATTCAGCTGGCTGAATGAAAAAACTCACTCAAAATTATACTAAACAGGAAAAGGTTTAGCTTTCCACAGAAATATTATTAATAAGTTATCGAATATATAAAAAATATTAAATTTTTAAAGGAATATTATATAATGTTTGAAATTTTATATAAAAACTCCAGTATCTGTAAAAACAAATGAAGTTTCTTTGGCTTTTTCCACTCATCGCTCACATGAGTCACGCCAATCAAGAGCTAGCAGCTGCGAGGGCTAGCAGTTAGCCGCTAGCGAGTTTCACTCGATTCTCTCTGGCTCGGCAGGTTTCTCCCTGGTTTTTCGCTCTCTGTAAGTGTATCTTATTCAGCTAAACTCGCAGCTGTTGGACTCTCGCTCGGCTTATTTTCCTTTAGTTGTCAAACAATTGCAGAGCCGCGTACAACGCGATAACGCTTTGTTGGTTAATTTTTTTCGTCGTATCTAGTACTGGAATTGTATTTGCAAGATACACGCATAATCTTCTGCCTAGCAAAGCACACGTGTTACAATATTTTGTAAGCAAATATATACACACACATACACACATAAAGGCGACAGTGTTCAAGGGCCCAAAACAAAGAGCAGATTCTGCGTCATCTGATCTCGGGAGCTGAATCACTTCACAATCATTATTCTCATCGCGAGTGCTAAAGTGTCGGTGAATTGTATCTGTGTGCTGCGAAGACGCGCTTCGATCGCGTTCTACTTTTTTGATTTCGAATAATTTTCGAGCCATTCACACAACAAAAGTATAAGAAAAAAACCCAGAGATCGGCTGTTTTTGCATACTAAATAAATCGATAAAAGATATCTAGTTTTTGTGTCAGGTATTACGAAACCCCGGCACTAAAAGTGAAATTTTAAACGCAACAACCCGAAAGTCCCCTACAGCAAAAGCGAAAAATATTTATCTCCGTGTGTTGGCAAAAAGGCAAAGAAAAAAAAAGAAAGAAACAAGTGACTTGTGACCATATCAGAGAAATCAAATCAAATCATTCCAAAGTCGAAAATATCAGTAAATTAAACCTAAATAAACCCACTTAGTCGACGCAACGCTTTCATTTGGATTAATCAATTCTTGTTTTCGGACAACCAACCAACAGGCATGCTGTACAGCGATTTTCACATTCTAGCCGAGACCCGTTTTAAATGAGATTTAACTAGATAAATGGTGCGTATCTTAAAGCCTATATAGTTCGTTTAACCCAAATACGCCTTGATAAATTGAGTTTCTTACAAGTCAGTTCTGGCAAACGACTAGCGGAAGTTGAAATCACTTTGAAGCAGATTTTATAACCGATCGTTTTGATGCGGCGATAAGTGTTTTATATATGTCTTGCTTAATTTGAACTAAGTTTCAGTTTGGCATTCTTTTTAAGAGGCTTTAATGGCAAATCTTGTTAGAAGTTAAAAAACCAGTTGCTTTGATGGCGAGTGTTTCGATTTGGTTTGGTGCAATGATTTTAATCGTTAGACATGGTGTTACTATAAGGTTAATAAAAATTAACAAGGGAAGTAAAACTACTTTAAGTGTCATTGGCCTACGAAATTTCCTTCAAAATACTTTGATTACATTTTCAATGTGTCAGCGATATTTATAAATACTTATTTTAATAAACCAGATTGTAAAATGTCATGGCTTACGCAAAAAAAGATTTTATGATTCACTTAAGAACTATGTTTATTCATATGTATGTGTATCTATTTATTTCCTTCTATAATTTCCATAAATATTAAATGTAATACATATTTACACAATTTTTTTCAATGAAGGTTTAATTTTGAGTTCATCTACCTCTAATACACCCGCATACCGGTAATAACCTTGCTTGTCAAGAATAATTTTCTGGTCCCATCCACCCCGATCACTGCCTGCATATTTTTTTTGCACTGCACTTTTCCACCACCCCATTTGGCCCACCTCTCTCGTAACCTTCTGCATTTACTTAACTAATTACATAGACAAGCTACGAAATGACCGAGACGGCGAGTTTCTGCCCCTCTCTTTCGCTCCCAACTATGTTTATCTTGTTAATTAAGAAGGTAACTAACTACTGGTTAATTTTTAATTGTTACAAGACGGTAATTTGTATGCAAGCCAACTGCTGGGACTTCGTTTAGAGATCTTAAGAGACTGTTATTATTTTTTCTCCGAGTTCCCGAGTTCTAGTCGGTCGACTCACTTGTGTCATTCATTTCGGATTGATTATGCACGGTCTTGACTCGGTTGAAAGCACACCCCTCTGCCACTTATATACAAGTATACTATATTATTCAACTTCTGGCATTTCCATGCGGGTTTTTCGGTTTAACTCCCCCGGTAAAGGCGGTTCGCTATATAGCAATTATTATTGTATTTTCCACTCGCTTCATATCTGTGAAAGATTGTATGGGGACTATATGTACGAGTATGTGTGTATTTCTGGCTTCTTTGTTTGACTTTTGCACTGCTCTGTTGGCATTTTTAATTGTTTTGCCTGCGTTTTGTAAGCTTTTTTGTGTTATTGTTTGATTCAGCCTTTTTCCCCCCTCTTTTTGTTTGTTCAGTGAAATTTGTCGCCAAAGCTTTGTCCATTTCATATTTCCAGCTAAATTGAAAAACAAAAACACAGAAGCTAAGTTGTTTCAACCATACGTTTGCTAATTAAGTTCTCAACCCAATTGGTTGCCTTTCTTTTCTATCGTTTTAGTTTTATTTTCACTGCTTTGTTTTGACTTTTGTTTTCTTTTCATAGCTAATTGCTTTATCTGGAAATATAAAAAACGAGCAGAAAAAATGGAGAGCAAAACTAATTGGAAACATTTTCTTATTGCGAAAGCTTTTGGGGAGTGTATGGCGAGAAAAAGTCGAGAAAACTATGATTATATTTATAGCATTCGTGCATAATGAATTTCTAAAATTAAGTGGAATTACTTATGTATATTAAAAACTAAGCTGCTGTTGTCTCCCTTCACTTTTCAATACTTTTTGATTTATGGTTTGAACACACCTTCATAAGTATTTGATAAATCAATAGAATGGCAATAGTTCTATCCTTGACATAAAAATAATAATATCTTCATACTTGCATTTAACACCTACACACCTTTTCCGCCTGATTGATATTTGTATTTGATTCGCTCTGCTGATTGCAGTTTTCCAGTTTTACCGACTTGCTATTTTCAAGTTTGATTGATTTGCTGCTTTCGGGTTCTGGTGTTTTGCAGTTTACGATTTTCAACTCGATAGATTTTTTGGGTTCATCTATTTGTTTAATGGTTTTCTTGTCAGCATTGCAACTTGCAATTGTCTTCTCCTCGAATATTTTGACATGTTTCTCCAATTGTTCTATTTGTTTTTCGACCTCGCGCATTTGCATGAATTTTTCCAACTGGTTTAGTCTTATGCAGGAATCTTTTGAAGCTAATTTCGGATTAAGAACTTCCTCCTCAGATTTCTTACAATTTTTCTCTTGTTTCTTGCACTTTTCTTCTTCTAGTTTTGAAGCTTTGTTTTCCCTGCTTTTCTTAGCTTCACTTTTTTTCCGTCCATCTTCCTCCTGCTGTTTTTGAGAGGACCCCTTATGATCCTTTTCCTTGCCATGCTGGTCTTGAGCCAATTTTTCCTCCTGTTTAAACCCTATGCTGCAATCTTTTACAGCTGTTTTCTGGCTTTGTTGTTTTAGATCCTCCTTTTTTGATTTCTTAAAACTTCCCTCGGATTTCTTATGATTCTCCTCTGATTTCTTATAATTCCTCTTTGAGTTTTTTAAATTCTCCTTCGATTTTTTAAGATTCTCCTCTGATTTCTTACAATTCGCCTTCGAGTTCTTTAAAGTCTCCTCCGATTTCTTGCAGCTCTTGTCTGATATTTTAACTTTCTCGGATTTCTTATCCTTTTCTTCTTCTACTTTTGGCAAATTCTCTTGCTTGCACTCATAAGCTTCCCTGTTTTTCCGACCCTCTTCTTCTGGCTTGACCTTTTCACGGGACTCCTTTAGAGCAATTTCTTCTTTTTGCTTGATTTTTTCACAGTACTTCTTCAGAGCAATCTCTTCTTCTTGCTTAATTTTTTCAGAGGACTCCTTTAGAGCCATTTCTTCTTCTTGCTTGAGTTTTTCACAGGACTCCTTTTGAGCAATTTCTTCTTCTTGCTTGGGTTTTTCGCAGGACTCCTTTAAAGCCATTTCTTCTTCTTGCTTAAGTCTTTCACAGGACTCCTTTAGAGCAATTTTCTTACAGCTCTCGTCTGATGTTTTATTTTTCTCGGATTTCTTACCCTTTTCTTCTTCTAGTTTTGCCAAATTCTCTTGCCTGCACTCATTAGCTTTTCTTTCTTTCCGGCCCTCTTCTTCTGGCTTGAGCTGCTCACAGGACTCCTTTAGAGCAATTTCTTCTTCTTGATTGAGCTTTTTACAGGACTCCTTGAGTGCAATTTCTTCTTCTTGCTTGGGTTTTTCGCAGGACTCATTTAAAGCCATTTCTTCTTCTTGCTTGAGTCTTTCACAGGACTCCTTTAGAGCAATTTCCTTGCACCGCTGTTCTTGTGCTAGCTTTCTACATATTTCTTCCTGTTCCCGCTCGGCAGCAGTTTGTTGACGGATGGTTAGAAATTTGAAGTTGATCTTATCCGCCGACATGGCATTAACCACCACAATCGATCCCGTTTGTCCCGGCTCCAGGATGTCCATCTTGGCCAGTAGCTTTAGTCCCGAATTCATAATGCGTCGGAAGTTCAGGCTACCCAAAACCATTTCTTCGACCAGAAGTGGGTAAACACCACGGAAGAGCGAGGATTCAGCTGCTTCGGATGGATAGCCAGTGAGCATGACAATGGGACACGGTGGCCTCATGTGACTGATCATCTGGGAAACCATTTGGCATGGACTTGCCACCACAATTGCCCCAGCTTGAGCCACTGTTGCCGCCTCCGAAATCGCAGTGGTCACCGCCGAAATGTGATCAGCGGCAGAGGTTCGAATTTCCCTCTTCAGACTGCTCTGCAGATTCTCGTACCACAAAACCGACTCGACTTTGGCACAAATCCTGGCCATAGTTTGCACACACTCCACTGGATATTTACCCTCTGAAGTTTCACTGGACAACATTACGGCATCGCAACCATCGAATATCGCATTGGCAACATCCGAGGCTTCGGCACGCGAAGGTCGCGGCTTTGTTGTCATCGATTCCATCATTTGGCCGGCACAGATCACCGGCTTACCCACTCTATTGCACTTGGCCACGATGGATTTTTGGGCCAGGGGCACTTGCTCCTCGGGAATTTCGTTGCCCAGATTCCCGCGCGCCACCATTATGCCATCGGATTCACGGATAATGGAGTCCAAATTGGCCAGGCCCTGTTGGCTGTCGATCTTGGAGATGATCTTTATGTGTTCACCCGTCGATCCCAGAGCCTGGCGAATCTCTTTCAGAGCATTGGCATCGCGGATGAACGACGCAAAGATCATGTCCACCGGCAGCTCCGCTCCGAACTTGAGATCCAGTTTATCCTGTTCGGTTACGGAGGGAAGATCCAACGGAATGCCCGGCAGATTCACTCCTTGATGGGAACCCAACCTGCCTTCAGTCTCCACCTGGCAAGTCACTTCATCTGCTTTGGATTCCTTAACCACCAGTTGGATAAATCCGTCGTTTAGTAAGATTCGATTTCCAGGTTTTACGACTGAAGGTAAGGGCTGATAGTCCACGTATATCTGCTCCTTGGTGCACTTTTCCTCCAGTTCTTTTTTGGTACTCAGTGTAATTTTATCACCGGGTAGGAGTTTGATTTCGGATGTACCACCTGCCAACTTTCCCGTTCGAATCCCCGGACCCTTGGTGTCCAATGCAATGGCCACAGTTCTGGGTAAGCCCGTTTCTTCTGCATACATTTCCATGGCTTTTCGAGTAGCCTCTATTGTCTTGCAATGGCACTCATGGTTGTACTGAGAGAAATCCATTCGCACAACTCGCATCCCGGCACGAATGAGCTTGAGTAGAACTTCCGGACTATTGGATGAGGGTCCAATGGTGCATATAATGCAACTGAGGGGGAGACTCAAAGGTGGAGCTTGAAATTGCAGACGAGATTGGTAATCCAGCTGGGAGTCGAAGGGTCCTCGGTCCAGTTGGAACTTTGGAGGATGCTAGAAGGATTTGGTTAATGGGCCACTTATATTGAAAACCCCTATAGACTCACCACCTCCTTTTTAGAATTCTCAGCATAGCAGCGAAGTCTTAGATTAGATAGGGATTTCGGACATGGAGACACAACGCAGAAGGTTGCCCTTCGGCAAAGGTATCCGGCGTATGTCCGAATTTTGAAGAAATTTAGAGAAAACGAAAAAAAAAACGTAAATTTAATCGGAAAATGATCTATAAATCTCAACCATTATGATCGGAATAACGTATTATTTACATTTCAAATAGCATGCGCCTCGCCTTATTTTAACCATTAAGAACACACCTTAAAAATACACTTGGAATTGAAAGTCTTATCAGAAAGTACATCCGATGCCAACTCAAATGCCATTCATATACACAATTGTTTGTTTGCTCGTATCAGCCGATGTTTTACTCTGAAATTTCCATTCTGTTTTGACAGTCGCTCAAAAGACTGATTCATTCATTTGCGCAATTTGTCCAACTCATCGTAGATATCGTTTTGTTTGCTTAAAACGCGAATGCACTTGCCACAGCTGTCTGAATAATAGAGTGCATTTAAGATATACAAACTAAGCGGGTTTTAACCTTGAGGTCCTGAAAAACTCAAATAGAAACCCCGTTATATACTCTTTGCCTGACTGTTTAACATTTGCCTCCTAGTCGGTCGCAGTCTTTGTGTTTCCGACTTGTGATATTTCGCACATTTAACAACTCGCATACATATGGATGGCCCCCTGGATCCCCGCCCCTGGGAAATGGCACAATGCCGATAATACGGGCTTATATATACCTCAATTTATTTTTTATTTATTTGCAAATCAAGCCGTATAATAATATTATAATAACTTGCTCGCAATTGTCATGTGATTTTTCGTAAAAAATAAAGCTGAAGTGTGTGGTGTTTTTGATAAGACTTCTGGGTACCGAGCAATGTGGTTGAACTGAACTCTTATGTTACAAGGTTTGCCCTATATTAACAGATCTATAAGTCCTAAAAATGTTGTTGATGATATATTATATTTTTCATGTTGATAAGATCCCTGTTTCGTGATTTGATTATTTTTTAAGCATGCGTTTTCTAAGTCATACTCTTCAATAAACAAGTTTCCTATTATTATTTATTCTGCTTAAATGATTACTTTCAACCAATTGCTATACCCTGATTTATCAAATACTGGGTAATCTTTATCGTTTAACTTTTGGTTGATTGTTGCTTATTTTCCGTTTTCATTTTCGGCTGGCTTTGTGCTCGCCTTGTGTGTTTTTGTCATTGCCTTGCCATTGTTCGCTCGGCTTTTCTCACTCTGGTGCCCTGTTCTACTTTCTATGGCTATGGCAGCCATAGATCCATGGGTGGATTGAAAAGTTTCACGGATATCGCTCTGGCACACGTACTCTGGAAGTCAGAGTGTATAAATCATCATAATTTCGTAACAATTGAATTCAGAGCGTAATTGCCGTAAATAAGACGAAATTGCAATGACTGAGAAATAATAATCAAGAGTCGAGTTGAATCAAGCCAAACTAAATGGAGTCGAGTCGAGTCGAGTCGAGTCAGGCCAAGTTGAGGTGAGGTGAGGTGCTCTGCAGAGCACGAGCCGCATTGGACCGATGGGAGCATTGAGCCAAGTCGGGGCATAAATTGCGCTAATAAAGCGCACAATTAAAGTCACCATCTTGCCGGCGTTCCGTCGCTGTCGTTGAGCAAATTGGCAACACTTTCCAATCGAAACGAGTTGCAGATTCGCTGGAACCGAAACTTCTTTTTGCCGCTCCGCTGCTGATTTGCCAATTTTCGTCTAATAAAATACAATAAAATGAAATGAAAATTAATTTGGGTTAGATGAGAGCGAGCGAGTTACCCAGCAGCAGTAGCAGCAACTAGTTTGTATCTCATCGGTGCGGTGCTGTGAATTTTTGTCAAATATGTTTGCCCGCCTGCCCGCGGCGAGGAATGCGGAAATATTGTTTCTTTTCTTCTCTGTTCAGCTGCTTTTGCCTATCTCTGTTTACGTGCACTTTCCTCGGCTTTTCCTCCTGCTTTTCGTCGCATCTGCATCTGTTTGTTTTGAGATATTTTCGCGCTTCGCGCTGCCGTTTTTTTCGCTTTTCTAATTTTTTTTTTGTATGTATTTCCCCTCCTTTCAACAAGCTCATGATTTCGTGTTATATAGTATATATACCTATATATATATATATATGTTGCCATGTGGTGGCCATGCGATTGCATTTTCCACACATTTTCTTTCGTGCATGACATTAAAGTTTTAAATTTAACAACCAGCCAAATGCCGGTCTGTTGGTTCTTCGTCTCGCAGATACTATAGTTCCCTTGCTATTTTTTTTCGACTCTTTGCCGTTTTGACGACACTTAACTCCGGCGAACACTTGTGAACTTTGCCAAGTGCGTCAAAAGTCGCGCCCCACTTTCCAAACTACAAAGTTTAAAAGTCAATATTTTAATTTCTTGAATGTTTTTGGTTGCAGATTTAATGGAGAGCACAATCAATAGAGGTTTTCTTGTTTAAAATCATAGTTTGGATTTGGTTTGCGCATTAAAACTGTAGAGCTAGTGACTCGATTTCACCAAAGGTACATAAATTAAATCCAAGCACGCTTGTCCCCACAAATTGCGCATACGCCGCGTTGTCCCAGAGAGAAAGACGAAGTCCATTTTATTTGGCTTTTGATCAGTGAGCTTGCGTGCCCAGTGAATGGCAGTCGCTGTCTTAATTCTCATTCCCGATTCGTTTATTTTGGGGTAACTCTTTTTCTCCAGACAACCAAGTCGTGCAAATGTCAAAAGTGTGACAAACATTTTGTGGAAATTCGGTTCATTATTCGGCCAAAGTGACCCCATTCAGAAAACTGATTACAACGATGATTACCAAATCCCCCCAGACAGTTTGCCCTCAGCACGCTTCTAATTTCTTTCGAGCCCGGCTTTCCTGGAGCTCTTCGGCTCTATGTAGCTGTATCTTCTCATCTCTGTTGCCGGCCGGGCACGATTTACTGCCACATTTAGATTTAAACTTGAAAATTTGTTGCTGCAACTGGCGTTGCTATTTTTACCATTTTTACCAGCACGTTCTACAAGTTTTTTTTTTTTTGTTTTTTGCGGCTACCTGCCGCTCAACGTGGGAAGCTGTGGGGAATGGGAATGAAAATGGTTTGCTGCAAATGTTTGTCCAAACTGGACGCATTGTTTGGCCGTCATCATTGCTGCTGGTTGGCCAAAAGGAAATGTTTTTCTCCTCGGTCGCCTTGAAGCGCAACCGAGTTGTTGACTCGACCACCGAGTTTGTTGACTTGTCTCTCGATTTATCTGCGTGTTAATTTGAGCAATTAACATGGTAAATTAAGGAAGCACCAATTCGCCGTAGATATTTTCAACATAAATACACACCTAAGGCTGCTCGGGTTGCTTGTTAACCTGCCAACTACAACATGATCAACATCTCATTGTCTGTTGTTATTTTTTTCCCCCTTTACGGGTTTTCGGTTAACTCTGCGTTGAAACAAGCCAAACAGTTAATGTAAAAAATGTGGTCTAAAGCTGGGTGAATGAGGAAGTGCGGCAACAATTAATTCATTAACTTATTTGTAAAAATAACCAAAAAGTAAATCAATAAATCATCCATGTTGGATTTGGCAACAACCTAAAATTAAGTTATTAATTAAAAATAATTAATAGACGTTAAGGTTATCGTAGGAAGTAATTTTATGTTGGACGTGACTTGGGAAACAAACAAACATAAACCAGGTATTTTTCTGGTAGTTGGCTCGTTTTTAGCATTAAAATATTTATTGAGTGGCTATCAAATATGGCTCAAACTACCTCATAGAAATGCGATTAGTCACTTATGCTGTATACATAAATACAAAATTGTATCTTTGGTAGTTGTTGGCTTTCCTCCTGCATTCGCCGACTTCCACACAAGTTTTTAATGCTTTTTTAACAGAGTATAAAAAGCACCTTGCGCCCAGTTAGTCATTCGGCACACACAAAACATGTGTGTGTGTGTTAGTGTGGGTAAAAATATAGCCACAAGCCCCGATATGGCCGGTATACAGTTAACCAATTGTTAACCCAAATGTGCTGCCAACTGATACGAAAAGAGAAGGGGAAGGGGCGCGGCACGAGCCGAGGGGATCCGTCGAGGTGCGCCTGCGCACAGCACATTGCCAACTGATTTGCTGCGCATTGATTGAAGGGTAAATTACACCTTGCCACATGCAATTCAATGCGATTCGATGCGATTCAATCCGATGACGGACACACGAACGGTCGACCGACCAGGTTTACTTGTCTTTACAGGTCTTTGCTAAACAAAGCTTATTCCGCACATGGAGAAAAATATCTAGTATATGAAAGGCCACATTTTGTGGATTATAGAATATACAAAAAGTAAAAAGTTGAAGGGTGAATTATTAAAAATAATTTTAAATGGGTTAAGTAAGTTAAGAGACCCGATAAGCTAAAAAATGTATAACAAAACTGAATTCATGTTTTAGAAAACATATCAGAAATTGTTTCTTCCGCGAAAAGCCAAGGTCATTGTAAATTTGGTCCCATTTATTCTTGAGATGAACATTATAATTTCTCTCCGTGTCGTCTCTTTCCTCTAAGTTTGGCAAATGTATATCTAAAAGATACTGTTAGCTACCGCCACCGGGCGACTGCTATTTGTATTTGTAGAATTTTGTGTGCAAATACAAATTTTTTGCGCTCGCAACTATTTGTAAATTGCGTCACCTCCGAAACTTGGTTTTTGGTTATGGTTCGCTAGTGTGTCCATGTTTGGATGTTTAGAGCGCCCTCTCTATTTCGCCGACTATCCGGCAATTGGCCGATGTATATGTATATATACCAGGGTGCGAGTATCTGTGCCAATCGTTTGCACTTGTGTGTGTGCTGCGACCATAACTGCATAAATATTTAATAGGATTTCAATGTTGTTTCGTTCCAAGTGCGCTGTCACGTCATTAAAGTCACATAAACATTTGAATAACATTTTCTTCAATGGTTTTACTTTTGAATTTTTTTTATTTTTGGTATTGGTATTTGGTTTCTTTTTGGCACATTTATTGAACGTACGCCTAGGCATTTCGGCTAGACTGAAATATATATAGACCGTCGCAAAAATAGACCTTCTTATAAAGTTGTCTGCGTCACTTGTTTTGAATATAAAAATGCCATTGGTTCCG